CCTGCTCCCCATAGAGGCCGCCCTCCTCCCCAGCCAGCTTCGGCTTTGGGGCCAGAGATCCTTTTTATTTTTCGAAGTACTTTTGGGGAGTTATTTCACATACTTTCTTCTCTTTGCTAGTGGGTATTCGGCAGCGTTTCTTCGGTCGTCTCGCCTGAACACATCCCACTTGAACGGGAGGGACCGGTGCCGTGGTAGGGCCTGTGTGTCTCCGCGGCCCGTGAAGACGGGCTTGCGGGTCCTCGACCACGGAGGGAGGACTTGATTTTGACAGGAGATAGAGTGCTTCACTGTGATGAGAGGTTTGGCCAGTTCCGGACAGCATGGCTTTTTCTGTCCGTTCATTTACTTGATAGTTAAGGGATGTTTACTTGGTATCAAAGAATTTAAGCAGTACATATTAAGTATGGGATGGTAGTTCCTTGTTAGGGATATAAAAACGAACAAGGCATTTTACTACGACCATGTGCGTGGGAAGGTAAGGGTAGAATAAGCCGCTAATTCTAAGCCACTCTGGGACATCCCATTAAAGAGGCTCAGATTCAGTTGTGGAGGCCACAGCAGGGTGGGAGAGCGCCCTTCTGGCTGGGTGATCAGAGAAGATTTCAGGAGGGAGTAGATCTTTTTAAGGAATTCTCTAAAAGGTGGATTAGAAGAGAGGAGAAGAACCTTTATCAGGAGGAGGGAACAACGTCAATACGCCAGGCCCACAGGTAGGAAACAAAGCTTTATAATTGCAGTTGGAACCGAGCTAACACATTACACCGTTCCTGGGAAGTTAGCCGGGCCGCACCCTGTAGGTCAAACTCTAGGCTGATTTCTGTGCTAGAGTTTGGGAGATGTTGGGGTGACACTCCAGACAGGCCATGCGGGAGCCACCTGGATATCCATCCCTTGATCTGGTTCATCCAGAACGTGCTGGCTTTCCATCCTTACTGTGAACAGTACTTTCTTTGTTGGGGCTACACGTTTTTCTCTTTATTCATATCCTTCAGTTTTATGGATACTGGGAACGAAGTTTTCTTATCTCTGGTTGATGCCCAGTTTCTTGGTGGACACTGTGGATTCAGTGCTAGGGAGCCAGAAGGTCATCACTCAACACAGGCAGGCTTTCTCGGTCCTCGGGTCACCGTGTCAGCCTGGCGAGCAGATGATGCAGTTTCTACACGATGAAGAATGTACTAAAATCCTCTGATTCGGGGCAGTCACTGCACCTTTGCTGGGTGTAGTTGTCCTGTTTCCTTGGCTTCACAGAATTGGACACTGGGGATCTGAGTCCCTTTGTGGTGTCTTCTGAACTCAGGTTTTATTGCTTATCTTTTAAGTGCTTGTTTAGAAAAGCTTTAAAGATACATTTTATTGCAACTAAACTTAGATTTTTGCAATTAGATCTTTAATGTACTTACAATTTATTTTCATTATGGTGTGAGGTATGAAATCCACTTCCATTATTTTTCCAGCTCTTAACCCGTTGTTGGCTCCGTCCGTGGACTAATGGCCTTTCCATTGGCCACGTCAGGTTTCCACGTGTGGGTGGGCGGCCTCTGCGTGCGGTAGTGTTTTCTGAGAAACATTCCTGCAGGTACTTCCATGACATACACACCTGTAACTGTGTAAAATTACTTTGTTAGTGTAGTTGCAGCAGAATTTCTCACTGATTTTCAAACATTTTAAAAACATCACGCCATTATGAAGGGTTTTAAACATGCAATATGCAGATTTTCATGAAAATATTTCCTAAAATATTTCTGTAGAAAGGCAAATTGAAATGAAGCTAGTATGTAAATGCTAAGCATGGTAAGTTATGGTAAATCATTGATTGACAGCGTTAGGACTAGCCACATGGGAGCCACCCAGCGTGTAGGGGTTGGGGTACAGTGAGTAGGCGGGGCCGGTAGAGCCAACTCACAGAATGCAGACATGTCATATATTTGTGTATTCATTTCTGCTTACTATTTTTTTCCTTGGCTCTTACAATTTCTGTTGACTTTTTTTCCTGCTTTTGTTTTTTTACAATTTCAACATAACTATATATATTTGTATATGTGTGTGTATATATATATGTATATTATATATATAGTTAATTTCAAGTGAACCAATTATTTTACTTTACTTACATTTTATATAAGCTGCTTTCTTTCTGTCTTTTTAAAAATTTTTTTTTTTTTAATCCTCACCCGAGGACATTTTTCAATATTTTGTTCAGATAGAGTGAGAGGGAGAGAGAGAGAGAGAAACATCAACGTGAAGGGGACACATTGAGTGGTCGCCACCCACACGACCCAACCAGGGCCGGGGACAAATTGTAACCGAGGTACGTGCCCTTAGCGGGAACCGAACCTGGGGTCTCTCAGGACCGCAGGCCGATGCTCTAACCGCTGAGCCAAACCGGCCAGGGCTATAAGCTGCTTTCTAATGGCAGGTAGTAATTCATCTTAATCATACGTCCACAAATATCTAAATTCCAGTACACGATGGTTTTATATTTACAGATGTGCCTCTCACAACCACAGCACACGGCTTCTTGTTCTTGTCCAGAGACGTCAGGTGCTGGCATGTGTCTGCCTGAGCACATACCCATACTGTCCACCTAAGAGGAGTGACTTGCCAGCTAAAATACGTTGTCGTTGCATTATCTAATTTTTATGAGTGGCCATATTTTTATCAAACAAATAACATGTCAGTAGATGTCACATCTTTATGCTTGGGTAGAAGATAGTGGTACTTGGATAGCGAGCTCATCTAATAGACAATAGTGTTAGAAAGTAACTGGTACTTCAGATATTTAAATGTACTTTCTTTTTTACAGCTTGCTCAAAAACATAGGACATGACAATACAGCTTTTCTTTTTGACAATAAGACTTTTAAAAATTGCTCCTTTCTTTGTAGAGGCGATGTTGCCGATCCCCTGTAGGTCATCCCATCTGAGTGGTCTTTCCTATAAATGATTTCACATAGATTCTGTCTACACAGTCAGCAGATTCCTTCTATCACTAAAGTAAACAACTCCTATCTTCTCATTGCTGTATTCATTACTAACGAGTTCGTATTGTAATTTATCCACTGATCGCTCTCTGTCCTCCTGGGTTGTGAGGCCGTGGACCCCTTATTAATCTGCTTCTCACCACACAGGGCTGGGTATGCAGTGGGGCTTAGTAAACGTACAGTGAGTTAACCCGTGTCATCAAGGTTAGAGCTGCAGTCTTCTACCACAAACGACTGATGGGTGGGGAGGTCAAAGTCTTACTCTCAGTTAGCATTTTGCTCAAGTCCAAGCTCGTCACCTGGCTGTGACGTTGGACTTCAGTGTGGCCCACACCGCCGGGCGTGGCCACAGGGGAAATAAACCAGGCTTGGCTTAAAAGGTGATTTCTGCGATCAGTTAATATGACTTGGGGGGGGGGGGTCAACATTTTTCCCTCTGAAATGACTTTCAGAAAGGCTTTATACAATTGAAATCCTATTATTTCAGTGATGGAACAGTGTACAAAAAAAGTTTAGAATGTATATTTCTGGATACAGAAGTAAATATTTGTCTGTGGAAATTGCAAAGAAAAAACAAAGAAGAGGAAGACATCGTAATTCTGGAACGATGCTTCGTGCTCTTCTTAGATCCGCACTAGCCATACAGGTGTGGGGGAGAGCCAGAGGTGGGGTGCTGGGTGTGGAGGTGGGTGGGACTCACAGGGGGAGAGGGGTGTTGCTGGGCTTTCCCCAGATACAGTGATACCTCGGTTCTCGAACATAATTCGTTCCAGGAGGACGGTCGAGAACCGAATTGTTCGAGAACCGAAGCAATGAAACCCAAAAGGAAAGCGTGACTCCACAAAGTGTGACTCTCTCTCTGCACTCCACTGATGACGCAAGCAAGGCGCGCTGGGCCGAATGAACGCCATTCGGCTCAACTCAGCTCATCTCAGAAGTTCGAGTTCCAAATATTTGTTCGGATTCCGAGACAAAAGTTTCTCGAATCTCCTGGTCGAATACCGATTTGGTCGAAAACCGAGGCGTTCGAGAACCGAGGTATCACTGTAGTTTATTATGGGTAGTGGGATGTGGTTTTAAAAATTTTTTTACAGATGTTTAAATTTTTAAAAATATGCATAAGTTGCCCAGCCGGTGTGGCTCAGTGGTTGAACATCAGCCCGTGCACCAAGAGGTCCCCGGTTTGATTCCCGGGCAGGGCACATGCCCAGGTTGTGGGCCCGATCCCCAGTGGGGGCATGCAGGAGGCAGCCAGTTGATGTTCTCTCTCATCGGTGTTTTTTGTTTTTTTAATCCTCACCTGAGGATATTTTTCCATTTGTCTTCAGATAGAGTGTTTGAGAGAGAAAGAAACATCGACTGGTTGCTTCCTGAATGACCTTGACCAGGGCCGGGGATTGAATGGCTACTGAGGTATGTGTCCTTGACTGGAATTGAACCTGTGACTCATTGGTCTGCAGACTGACGTTCTAACCGCTGAGCCAAACCGGCCGGGGTTCTCATCGATGTTTCTCTCTCCCTCTTCCTTCCTTTCTCTCTAAAAAATCAGTAAAGAAAATCACTAGATAAATAAATAAAAACATGCGTAAGTTGTTGAGGACTCCACTAGGCTTGTTATCCTCTGTTTACATGGTCCCCCTTCTCTGCCTGCTGTGTGTGGGGCGCAGACCAGTGGCTGGGTCCTGCGTGAATTAGTGCTGAAGGTGAGCGTTAGGGAAGACAAGAACCCTGACCCGTAATTCAGGAGAACACCGAAAGCGAGGTGCGAAAGAAACGGTGGACCAGGGTCTGCTCTGTGAGCAGGGAAGGGTCCCCAAGCGCGGACTCCACCGGGTCACTCTGGCTCTGCCCGGAGATGGGAACCCTGTTGGCGGGCCTGGCCGCAGGCAGGGTGTCTGTGCTCAAACGCTAAAGGACTGAAACTAAGTAAGAGCAAAGTTTGCTGATAAAATTTTCAGTGTGACCTTTTTAAAAAATTTATTTCATTCTTTTCTTTTTTTTTTTTTTTTTTTAGAAAATGGCTCGGGAGGGTCACTGAGGCCGGAGAACACCTGGATGCAGCCTGTCCAGATGTTCGCGGATCGGATTACAGAGCGCGATTGATCCCCTTGGATTCGGTCATTAGTCATAATGAAGAAAATTAGTCTGAAGACCTTCCGGAAATCTTTCAACTTGAATAAAAGTAAAGAAGAAGCGGATTTCATGGTAGTGCAACAGCCCTCGCTAGCCGGCGAGTTCGGAAAGGACGACTCCTTGTTTGGGGGCTGCTACGGGAAGGACATGGCCAGCTGTGACATCAGCGGTGAGGATGACAAAGGGGCCAAGAACAGATCCAAGAGCGAGAGCCTCATGGGCACGTTGAAGAGACGGCTTTCTGCCAAGCAGAAGAAGGGCAAGGGCGGCACCCCCTCCGGGGGCGCCGACGACGACGCCTTCTCCTCCTCCTCAGCACCCCTGGTCTTCAAGGATGTGCGGGCGCAGAGGCCCATCCGGTCCACGTCCCTCCGCACCCATCACTACAGCCCCACGCCGTGGCCCCTGCGCCCCACCAACTCCGAGGAGACGTGCATCAAGATGGAGGTGAGGGTCAAGGCCCTGGTGCACTCGTCCAGCCCCAGCCCCGCGCTCAACGGGGTTCGCAAGGACTTCCGCGACCTGCAGCCCGACGCCGTGTGCCCGGAGCAGCCGGGGTCGCTCAAGGGCTCCGAGTCCCAGGACGGGGCCCTGCACCTGCACCTGGAGGAGCACGTGCCCGTCGTCATCGGACTTCTGCCTCAGGACTACATCCAGTACACTGTGCCTTTAGAGGAGGGGACGTACCCTCTGGAGGGCCCGCGCGGCTACTGCCCCGACGGCTCCTCCCCGATGGAAGTGTCCGCGGTGCCCCCGCCGGGCGGAGGCGGCGCCTTCCCCGAGGACGAGAGCCAGGTGGACCAGGAGCTCGTGGTGGCCCCGGAGATCTTCGTGGACCCCGCGGTGAACGGCCTGCTGATCAGCACCACGGGGGTCCTCCTGCAGAGCCCCCGGGCGGGCCTCGACGACGTCCCTCCGCTCTCACCGTTGCTACCTCCCCTGCAGACCGGCGCGCTCCCCAGGAACTTCGGGGGGCTGGCGGGCGCGGACGCGCACGTGGCGGAGAGCGTGCGCTGCCACCTGAACTTCGACCCCCACTCCGCCCCGGGGGTCGCCAGGGTTTACGACTCGGTGCAGAGCAGCGGCCCCATGGTGGTGACCAGCCTCACCGAGGAGCTGAAGAAACTGGCCAAGCAGGGGTGGTACTGGGGCCCCATCACGCGCTGGGAGGCAGAAGGGAAGCTGGCCGACGTGCCCGACGGCTCGTTCCTGGTCCGGGACAGCTCCGACGACCGGTACCTCCTGAGCCTGAGCTTCCGCTCCCACGGCAAGACCCTGCACACGCGCATCGAGCACTCGAACGGCAGGTTCAGCTTCTACGAGCAGCCGGACGTGGAAGGACACACGTCCATCGTGGACCTGATCGAGCACTCCATCCGGGACTCGGAGAACGGGGCCTTCTGCTACTCGCGGTCGCGGCTGCCCGGGTCCGCCACCTACCCGGTCAGGCTGACCAACCCGGTGTCGCGGTTCATGCAGGTGCGCTCCTTGCAGTACCTGTGCCGCTTCGTCATCCGCCAGTACACCAGGATAGACCTCATCCAGAAACTGCCTTTGCCCACCAAAATGAAGGACTATTTACAGGAGAAGCACTACTGAAACGAGGGGAGCCCCGCGCCCTGCACTTGGGGAGGAAGGAACGAGAGGGGGATCCAGTTTACAGACGCCGTCGCTCCGAGTCTTCGCTGCCACCCCGGTTCGGGGGTGCGGGTCGAAGGAATCCGTGGGTCTCCGGGTGGGGAAGCGTCGCAAGGGGTCTCGGGTTGATTTCGGTTCTTTCAAAAGGGAAGCCTCGAGGTTTTAGAAGCGTGCGAGTTCTCTTTCTTTCATCCATGTGCAGAAGAATCACAATGTGAATGCTCAGATTCTCCTTCCCCCACCCCCGTCCTTTGCTGCTATCCACTGTGATGTTTATGCATTAAAAGCACATTTCATGTGTGTTCAGCCCTAAGTGGAGGTGAATGGAACTGTGTAGAATGAGCATTGTTATGTCTCTTTCAGTGGCCCGTTTTCAGAGAGAGTGCTGAGGGAGCAAGCACACCGGGGTGCTGACACCCAGGACCGACGCCCACACTGAGAATGATCTGTTCTCTCCTTCTTGAGAAAGATGGGTTTGGGATTATGAATCGACGCTATCTTGGGTACTGGAGCGCAGACCTGCACCCTGTCTTTCACGACACTCATTTCTAAATTACGTCCAAGGCTGTGCTGGTTTCGTTGTTGTTGTGAAAATTTGAATTTCCCTGTTGCCTTCATTTCCATCGTGTGGTTTGTCTGTTTTAATAAATGGCCTTACATGAAAAACATCATAAAGAAATGTATACCACCAGTTTAGAGATCGTTGCCTTTTCTGTCCGTCAGCTCTGGTACAAATTGGCAGAACATACAAAGACCCACGGAACCAGAAATATTAAAGAAATACTAGATGGTCATAGTTTCCTGTGATAGCAGTTTTTTGTGTTCTCTCTCTGTTCCTTGGCTGAAATGTTTTGTCTGATTTCTTTCACGTAGTCAACATTTTCTTGGGTGAACATGATGTAGAACTGATTTTTGTAAATGGACTAGATTCTGTTGGAACATTCTTGTTTATATAAAGTTTTAAACTGATTTGAATGGAAAAGAAACCTTGTTTTAAAGTTGGACTTTCGTTTTCTTTTTTGTGGTCACTATTAAGATGTGCTAGATTTGCGCCTGCCTTCCTTCGTCCCACCAAGAAAATAGACAGCAAACCCAGTGACTTCAGTTGAGAGATTGTAGAAATTGCAAAACGCCATGTAAGAAAAATACTGAACCCGTACCAGATACACGGAAGGCTTATTGCCTGCCATACACCGCCATTTCAAAACAGGTGTTCGATTTAAGCCTTGGGTAAATTGGCATCGTCAGTTACTTTGGCTCTTAGATTCAGTTGTTTTTTGGTGGGGGGTTGGGGGAGTTTGATATCCCCAGTAAGCGGTGGTTATTTCGACATGCGGTGTTGGCTCACTGCATGATTCTTCCGTGTGGTGTTTTGGGTTTGCCTCATCCAGAAAATGTTTCTTTCAGATGAAACATGTAACTTAAGACATTTCTTCCTTTGTCACTCAGTTTCCTTAGCTCTCACCCCCATTTATGAACAAGAGTAAAGGTCTTAGGTCAAGCTTAATGGCTTTGTCATTCAGTCATGTCAAGTATCCCCATTTTTTTCTCTGTCTGTTTTTTAGGGTCAGAACTGAGAATTAACAAGAAAAGGCACAATACCATAACATCGTGTTATGGTATTTTGACTTAAAGGGGAAAAGGTACTGAATTTTGGTGGAATGTTGATTGTACCTTGTTATAAAGACTCATTTTCTGATGTTTTCACCTAATAAGATGGAATATTGAGTATACTGTAATAATATAATTTAAGTGTTCACTATAAGCTATTTGGATTAAAAACTATTACAGAGTTGTAAACTTATCAAATTAATGCAAGACATTTAAACTATTTTTTTGCAAAACTATTTATTTTTAAACAATTTAAAGTATATCTAGGGTGAGTTAAAGGTCCCTGTGCATCTATATTAGATGGCAGGTATTTTCAGAGTCACTGTGTGTTAATAATAGACGTTGAAGTGGCTTCTCCATGGTTCTAGAAGCATCTACATGTACCCTTTGTGAGATCACGGTGCACAGAGGTCTTTGGACTGCCCTGAATCCTGTCTTAGCATGTGGCATAGCCTGTTCCTCATGTTTTCCTCGCAGGAATGTGTTTAAGGTCTAGCCATTTAGTTGCAAGTTACGATTATTCTGATTTTCATCTGAATGTTCTTAAAATTGTATCGTGTTTTTATGGAGGGCAAGTCTTGATACTCTTCTAATCTAGAAAGCCAATCCTTACGTGCTTTTGTATATTCGTAATATCAAATTCTTTAAAGTAACATGCCCTATTCCAGTTCAATTTGAAATTCCTGGGGTCTGATACTGTGTCGATAAAAATAAAAGTATTTGCCAAAAAGTTATTTACAAACAGAGAAGTATCGCAATATTTTCTGCTGTTGCCTGGAGAGAACCATTTGGAGTAGGCAACACAATATAATATAAAGATTGGCTTTATGGGATCCTACAACAGGCTGGTTAAAGGTGGAAGGGGACACGAGATATATGTTCATCCTGTAGTTTGGTCTAGATACAATTTGGATAAATTTCTGGATTACATTGAATGGCGGCTTAGATAACCTGGATGCAAGCTAGGAGTTATTTTTAAATGTGATTCTAAAAGACTGAGCTCGAGGCATGAAAGAAAACAGGAAAGCTGTATCCTTTTGCCATAATAAATGAATCAGAGTTGTTTTTATCAAATATTTCATCAAAGAACGTGATGGAGGCCGGGAGCCATTTCCAGGCTTACTAGGACACTATTATGCATTTTTATAGAAAGAAAGTATAGGAAGTACTTGAAAAATATCCCACTCTTTCTCTTTCTAAAGAAAACTGTTCTCTTTCTACTTGGTGCAATAATCCGAAGATTTAGAAGTAAACAATAGTATATCCCAGGAAATGATCACAGAGCTAAAAATAGTTTTTAAGGAAACCAGCTACATAGGGCAACCATCTTGCTATTGAAGGACATCATGTGCTAAATCATTGGCACACAGGAAAGAAAACCAAGTATACATGATCATTTCTGAGCCAGTATTATTGAAACAGGATAGAAGTCACTACCATCTTAAAGAGATGAAAGGTCCCTGCTTAACAGCACTTTCGGAAACGCCAGTTTTAATCATTGTACATTTCACATTGTATACGAGAGAGATTTGTTTTATGAGTGACTCTGACTATTTTTTCAATCTTAGTGGATTTTCATCGAATGTGAAGTCAGTTTGAAATTGAAATGGCTACCAGCGACAGACAGTTTTGTTGAAAACGGATCAGGAACCATCGCTAGTTCCGTAAATAACTTAAAAATTCTAAAGCAGAGTATGGGTACGCTAGTAGTCGCAAATTCGGTTTCTTCGAACACTTTTTTAATCCTGCAAAGATTTTTTATAAACATCCTTTTTATTGATCACAGCGCGGAGGACGCGTAGTCGCTATTTCTGAAAAGTGACCCAAACAGCCCATCCAGAGGTGATAAATTCTTACAGAATTTTGTAATAACTATACGTGTTGGGTTAAAGGAGTTTTATAGTTGTTGGAGTGCCATGAAATTAATCCTTGCAATCCAGATTGCTGTAGTTTACATTTTTCTGTATGTTTCAAATCAGGTGTGTACCATTTGTACCGAGAACACCACACAATGAATTATCCAAAGTCCATTGATTTTAATACGTGTTTTGGTTTGTACACAAATTATAGTAATTTCTTGCACATTTTTGGAAATCAATTGTATAAGAACTTATGTATCTACTTCTAGATACAGTGTGTAAATAAAAATTTTGTTCCCAAGATCTGCCTTGTAGTGTATTTAATACCCAGCTGCAGACTGTAATTTGTATAGGGTCAAGGAGATCATTTCTGGATGACCCATAAACTGGGCCGAGATTGGAGGGTAGGAACCAGCAAATTTTAATACAAAGAGGAAAAGTGAAATAGTGTCATTCATGGGAGACATCAAATTGGGAATCAGCCAGTATTGCTAATATCCTGAAGCCTTCAATGTAGAGGTTGGAGTGAACTGGCAGAACATTTAAACAAAGACTCATTAAAATTAACACAGTAATAAAAACTGTTTGGAGTATGACATTTAAAACAGCATGCCTCACTACTTAATAGTATTTCATAGAACTAGAACCGGGCTATCCAAGTGCACTGCATAGACGTTAATTAGAAATTCATGGATAAGAATGATTTCTCCTATCCACTGCATTCAATGATAAGTTTTTAAAGTTCTTAAAACTGCATATAGGGTTAAAGGTTCACTTTAAAAGTTTGTTCTAGTGCTTTTTAACAAGTCCTTTTTGTTTTTTGAATCCTGGCTAATTCAAAGGTAAATTGTGAAATGACCTTGTTTGGAAATATCACACATTTTGACTTTCAAAGAAGGCAAATGACATTCCCATGTCCCAGAGCTGCCGGCCGGTGGTGCTGAAATCCAAACTCACGGGAGGGGAAGGGTCAGCCTCCCGGAGTGTGGAAAAGGCTGGACTGGCAAGCTTGCGCCCAGCCAGGTCAACAGTGTTATTCTCCTCTGCCCATTGACCTTCAGCACCAGGCTGGGTCCCCGGCAGGTGCTGGTCCTTCGGGCTGCCCAGCCCAGAGGGGAGGGTGGAGCAGGCACACACGAGTGTGCACACTGTCTCCATGAAGATTAAAGACCCTTGGCCACAGCAGATGATTTATTGAAAACATGGGGTCAACCTCTCAACTTCCATAATTCTTCATTGTGCTGACCATGGCCAGTTTCATGGCCTGCCACCTCACCTTTCAATTGGGTTTTTTAACCTCACAGGTTTTACTTATCCCTTCACTAAGCTTCCAACTTTCGGAAGCAAAAATATTTTAACCTTTATTTCACTTTAATTTAGTCCTCACTGTCTGCTATTTCAACCTCCAGTCTAGGTTTAAAAATTTTTTCTACATCCATAGCTTTATAGAAATTTTACTATTTAAAAAAAATATTTAATTTAACTTTTTCATATTCTAATTTCCAGTTTCAAGGGTTTCCTAATCTTCTGAAACTTTTTCAGGAATTTGACTCTTTGGGTTCTTCCTCCTTTGATCATGGCTTGTCTTGGTAAATTTTTTTTTTCTTCAATTTTTATTTATTTATTTTTGTTACAGATGTTTCTCGTTTTTCCTCCCCTGGACACCCTCCTCCCCAGCCTGCCCCCCGCCCCCACCCCAGCATTGTTGTCTCTGTCCATTGGTTACATATACATGCATATAAGTTCTTTGGTTTATCTCATTCATCCGCTTGTCTTGGTAATTAAGGGGTGTTTGGGGCCAGCCTCTTTGTTTCCCCCCACCCCCTGCCAACACCTCCCAGCCGCCTGGTAATGCCGGCCTGACCCTGTCGAAGGGTGGAATGGTAGGGTTAGGTAGCCAGACTCCCGAAATTATTTTTGTCTTACGCTGCATTGTCCCTACTTAATACCAGGCAACATCACCTGTTCTGAACGATTCAGGGCCCCCTTGGGACAGGCTCCCTCACAGGGCAAAAGCCAAGGAGCAGCTGGCCAGTCCATGGGTTAGACAGGGTTCATGAACAGGACCAGTTGCCTTGCCTAGAGGTCGTTTGGGGCCGTCGAACCCCGCCCTTGGTAACTGACTTGCAAATTAGGGTAAATCTTACATCGAAAAGGAAACTTTCTGATTATGTGCCACGGATCTCCCCACACCAGGGAACTGCTAGGCACACAGGTTGCCACACAAGGCTGCTTTCTGGTCTCCAGCGGCCTTGGGAGCCTAATGGGCACGCGGACTTGGTTACACCAGCCTAGGGCACGTGTGAATTTATACAGTGTTCCGTGTGTGGAATCATCCTAGAATCCCACTGAGGAGAATAGCTCTCTAGGCTCCCCCACAGCAGTTTCAAGAGGTGGCGCCTCCAGCCCTGTCCTTTGAGAACTGGCCTTCTGCAGCGACCGGCTAGCCCTCTGCGCTTCTCTCCTCTGCAGCCCTGGGCCATCTGGTTGTCCTGGAGCTGGCCCGTGGTGAGCAGCACCTGGCCCAGAGATCGGCCAGCCTGATAGTGGCCGGGGATGTGACAATTGTCCAGAAAACCAGTAGATGCATATCTTTCAACAGGAGAATCCCTTGCTCCCGTCAACAGGCTCTCCTGGAATGCAGTGAGTGGAATCAACAGATCCAAGTAGGTGGCCGGAGTTTATACCCCTAGGCTCTTGCCCTTGGACCCCTCTCTCCACGGGACCCTCACTTTCTTCAGGTGTTGGGTACTTCAGTTGGATACAGCACCCAGAGAAGATTCTATGCCCACAGCACCCTTTGAAGACGTCTCTCAATATCAGTTCTGAATTACCGCTGGGATCCTGTTTGTACAAACTCGCCTTCATTAACTCTATGGTGTGCTCCAAAGGTAGCGAGTTCATTCGGCAATTCATTCCCTCAGAGAGTAAGTGCTGAGCTGTTGTGTGCGGGACTGGGAAAGTAATGGAAGTGAGATGGATGCCAAGGAATGATGGGGTTCCACGAGACCTGATTTAATCTTGAAGGGGGTTTGGGGGGACGGTGAGTAGGGAATAGAATGTACTTCATTCCTTCCTCAAAGGGGGAATGCTTTTGATTCCCCAAATCATAGATTGTGACGTGGTGGTTTGGTGGGTGGGACTCAGGAACTCCAGCAGGATTTCCGTGCTGTGGGGACCCTGTCCTGTCACCTGCAGTCTCTGGCTGTCACCTTTATTCTCAAGCTTTTCCACGTGGTGCGGGACCTAGCGGCTGGCAGCCCTGTGGCCACCTTGTTATGGTTTTGCAATCAGCAGAGGAAAGGAGTTTCTTTCCTCTGGGGTCCCAGCCAAGACTGCAGAGTGCTTAAACCATCACGTGTTCACTTCTGACCCAATCACTGTGGCTAGAATCATGGGCTTGTCCGGTGGGCGGGGCGGGGCCCCAGGGCTCCTGTGGTTGAAGACAGGCCGCAGTTGCAACAGGACTTTCTCTCTCCTTTCTCTCCTGGGGAAGGTGGTACCTGAATGCTCCACTCAAGGTGGGTGTGTTCACGCATAAAGAAAATGTGCTAATGACTTGGCCGGTTTGGCTCAGTGGTTAGAGCATCGGCCTGCGGTCCCGAGAGACCCGGGTTAGGTTCCCGCTAAGGGCATGTACCTCGGTTGCAGTTTGTCCCCGGCCCTGGTAGGTCGTGCGGGTGGCAGCCACTCGATGTGTCCCTTTTACATCGTGTTTCTCTCTCTCTCTCTCTTTTCCTCTCTCTCCCTCCCCTCTACCTGAACAACAACAACAGAAAAAAGGAAAAAATGTCCTCAGGTGAGGATTAAAAAAAAAAGAAAATGTGCTAATAAGAGAAAAGATTTGAAGTATGTATGAAAATGTGGGCACTTTCCCATGGATAGTTTTGTACCCCTTTATGTGAAGTACATTTAAATATCGTGGTAGATCACATTCTTTTGAGGTAATCGACTCAGGTTACTTATGTTTAGGTTACACCTAAATACAGGGTGGGGGAGTGAAGGGTTACAGTTGTGTGTGTATTTAGATCTTTGTAGAAGACAGTAATTATCTGGCCAACTCATCCTTACCTGGTGAGCAGAGGCAGGGCAGGAAACCACTGTTGACCATCTCTTGGAAAATTATGTGAAAACATTTGAAATCTTTGAAGTCCCTGTGATTTTTTTTCTTTTTTAAACCCTCAGATTATTGATCCACTAATGGCTGATGAAAGTTCATTGATTGAAAAGATTCCTCTGTTTGCTCACTCTGAAAAAACCCACCTCCGGTCAGGATTGTTCTTTCCTCCACCCACCATTTATTAACTTTGTAAGCCTGTTGATTATGTCGGTCGATGCACAAAGAGTTTTGATAGAGATCAAAGAAAATGGAAAAATCACGTCAGAATAAAGTCTTTCTCAATTGTGAGGGACAAGGGATAACATAAAGTAAGAAGAACAGGAACACAATATTTGGAATTCTTAGTTTAAAAAGTCAATGATTTTTCCCTGGCTGTTGTGGCTCAGTGGTTGAGCGTTGACTCTGCACCAAGAGGTCTCCAGTTCGATTCCTAGTCAGGGCACATGCCCAGGTTGTGGGCCCGATCCCCAGTGGGGGGCGTGCAGGAGTCGACCAATCGATGTTCTCTCTCATTGATATTTCTCTCTCTCTGTCTCCTTTCCTCTCTCTAAAATCAATAAAGAAAAAACGTTAAAAAAATAATAAAAATATTCTTAAGTATCTTAATTAAGATTCACTCTGATTAATCTTTCAATAGCTAATACTTTTCAGATATGTGAATTGCAGAATAGATACAAGATTCCCTTGGTATAAACTTTTCTATATCATTTCCATTTCCTATTTTTGTTTTTTTTTCCCTAAAAAAAAAAAAAAAAAAAAAAGTCTGCAGTGGTATAAAGATTCTGCTATGCCCAGAACATGTACCTTATAGAACAGTATCAGATACTGAATGTACCTTTTGACCCATTTATGGAAATAAGAGACTTTGCCTTACTGAATTATTTAAAGAGACAACTTTTATTATAATAGGTTAAGAACTTAGCATTATGCCTAATGTGCAGAACTTACATTGTATTCCCATTGAGTTAAATGTTTAGTTATAATGATAATTCTTGTAGTACAATAATGACCCTCTAATGGTATTTTGGTTGTTTAAAAGTTCTAGACAATTCATAACCAAGAGAACTTTCCCCCTTTAATTGTCAGGTGAATCTA